ATGAACTCCTGAGGTAAGGCCTCATCCAGGCCAGGATCTGGGCAGCACTCAGGTTGGGCGCTTGTACGTGTGACGTTGGCAGCAGGTGGGAACAGCAGCCGCGCTCCCATTGCTTGCAATGAGGGGACGGAAGAGAGGATCTGCTGTAAAGATTGCTGCTCAGTTTCTGAGAGTTCAGGGATGTCTCGTGGGATGCGCGCGTGCAAGCAGCGATTGGACATGCCTGCATGCAAAGGTCCAGGCATGCACTTGCAGCTGGGCTGGTTTTTATTTGGGAAACAGCAAGGAAGACACAAGACTAGAGGGAAGAAGGCAAGCGGACCGGCAGTCTCGGACTGCCCAGTCCCCCAATAGCCCAGGCCTTCAGCGCACAGGCTGCTGGTGAAAGCGGCCCTACAGAAACCAACAAAATTGCAGAGGCACAGGGCTCTTTTACCTTTGCACATCAGGTGAAGCTACGCACACTGGAAATTCAGCCTTGGGCTCCTGGCAAGAAGCTCCATTCAGGAAACAACACTCCTGATTCTCCCGCTGGGTCTCCAGCACCCAGAACGAGTCGTCCACGAGCCAAGGAGCTGGTCTCAGAGACTGCTTGAAGCAGGACCTCCAGCCCCTGGGGTTTTGCTCAAAAGGGGACCAGCAACGGAGTGTGAAATCAGAAGGACCCAGAAGTCCCAGACCCAGCCCTGCCAAACTTTGGGGGGATTTCAGGTCCGGGCGGGGGGGTGATAGGCATGGACTACCAGCCCCTTGGGCAGCTGAGCAGAGGACACAGGGAGGCCGCAGTCACCCCTTCTTATTGCTATTAATCATGGATACTACCACACAGCCCATGCACTGGCCAGGGATGCACAGACAGTCCCAGGCAGTCCCTCCCCAAAGGCAGTCTATATAGGCAAGAGAGGGGACTGTGATAGCGGCCAATGCTATGTTTTGGGGAGCAGGTCATTAGTCACAGTGGGTAGGATTTCCCTTGCACAGCTGGAGTCCCAGCAATCCCAGCTGGACACAGATTCAGCTCCCCTTTGCATTGCAGGGATCCCTCCAGATGACTTGCCGGATGCACGGAGCATGCAACTGGAGAAAAGCTTGCATTTCTGAGCGTGGCAGACTTGATGCCCAAGGGCTGGGCCTCTGATGAAACCAGCTCAGATAAAAGCCTTGCAGATGTATTTTGGGATGCCAAAAATAAACCAAGTGGTCCCTGGTAGCCACTGAAATACCTGGGCATGATCTCAACTGGAGACCCCACGCCTTCTGCCATATGGGAAAGTTTGGGACAAATTCTTACAGAGAAAGGAGGAGATCAAACAAGACCTGCCTGGTGACTAAAACACAGGCCCGTAGCAGAGCCTGTGCTTATCTGCTGAGGACGGCAGGGAGAATGGCAATTATACTGTTCTGGCAGCTCACAAGCCCCATGGGAGCTGCATTTGTTGTCACAAGGATTAGCACCCTCACAGTCTTCCTGGGGAAGCTGCGGCTGCTGCTAGAGCCTTACTAATTTACAACATATCAGGAGCCAGGAGGTAACGAGGAGGCGAGAATGAATCCGTGCCCCAATGCGCACACACTGCAAATGGGATATACAGATGTGAGGGCTCACTCTATGGGGCTCCCAAAGGCCGTGCCAGCACTTGGAAAGCATGAGCGATTGCAGGTATCCGGGGATCAATATCGAGATCCAGCTGCCAGTGAGGTCAGTGCAAAGACTCCCCTGAAAAGTGTAGCTGCAAAAAGCAAAGGCCGAGTCATCAGCAACACCGGAGGGATCTTACCTTGATGCAGGGCTGGCGTCAAGTGAAGCTGATGAGCTATTGCAGCTACAGCACCTGCTCCTCTTCCTCGCGTACCTGGACTCCGCCATGCAAAATCAAGGACACACTCCCCTTTACAATAATAGGAGCAAGGCTGCATCTTAAATGAAACATGACAGTAGGTTTTTAAGGAAGCTTTTAACCAACTCCCTGCGGATCCAGCTACATGTACAGTAACCTCTGGGTCAAGCTTTTAAGCTGTGAGGCTGGAGGGTTCAGGGCAGCCACAAACAGCCTGAGTTCACACTACAGCATCTTCCAAAGCAAAGTTAGGGGAATAGCTTCCTTCCTCTCCTCCTTGCTGAATGCTTTGTCCATTGAGTTGATAAAGTAATTGGTGCAGGAGCTGCATCTACTGCAGGCTGGCACTGGGTCTAGCAGGGGCTCCCTGGGTGCTGCCTTCATACAGATGCTGTGTTCAAATAAGAAATCTGCAGAGGTGAGGAGTTTACCATGGCAAAGCCATGTGTTCCCACCAGATTGAGAAATGCCAGAACAATGAGTAGTGGAAGATCCCTAGTGCTTTCCTATTTCCATTCCCCCCATGCACCCCCTCGAGCAGCTTCTTAATTTTTTTGAACTAGCTTCACAAAGCATGCTTTTCTGCTCTCTGCTGTAACGAGGGCACAGTAGGAGGCTCAATGGGCTTTCAAAGTCACCACTGGCTTCCTACTACACTTTCTCATGCTGGACAATGTTTCATTTACTTTGGTGCTGGGAAAACCATTGCTCTGGCCTTAGCTGTTGGGAGAACTTTTAAACTCAGAGGTAGGTGGGTCACCAGGTTTTCTGAGCCTCTTGGGCCTTTTCTGGTAGAAAACTCGAGAGAGAATGGCAGGGGAGAGCTATTTTGGGGATATTTCCTTCCTTTTTGAATTTTTAAATGTAAGGAAAGGCAAGAAGCTCTGCTGCTGCTTGTAAAGCGGGGAAGCCCATCTGTCAGCATCCATCCAAACCGTCTGCTTTCTCATTCCAAGTATCCATGGATTTGCCAGATTTGAGAAAGCGCCCTCCGCTCAATTTTCAAGCAGTTTGCAGCCATGGGCACTTCCTGTCTCAAACGTGAGCACTTCTGGGTCTGCACCCCTCTCTGCTATCAATTAATTTATGTTAACGGACCCTATGCCTTCTGCTCACCCCCGCCTCTCTCCCCGTACTCGCTGCAGTTTGCTGGGCAAACAGCCGGATTTGGTGCGAGGGCAGGCAACAAGTCATCATTCTCCTGTAATCACAGGCCTGGCAGGGGTGCCAGCAGGGCTGAAGCCCCAAAAAACACTCTCAGTTGCCATCTAGCAGCAGAAGTGACACAGCGGAGGGGCCCTAGCTTGCAGAGCAAGCAGAGCAGCCTTGGCCCATTTGCAAAGGTCTCTTGCTCCCTTGCAGAGGGCACATACAGGGTACGGAGTCGAACCCCACAGGGTGGGAGGAGATATGCCTTCCACCTCAGGAACATGGTTGGCTCCATTACTAGAGATTATAGGGTAGGTGAGCAAATGGCCAGAAGCAAGCAGCCTACTCTTCTTCATTACTTTCTCTGTGCTGTGATCCCCGGTGCTGCCTTGTCATCCAACCCACATTCAGATGTTGCCGGTCTTTCCTTTGCAGGAAAAATATTTCGGAAGATTTCATTTCCGGTCCAACCCTGTGCACCTGGCACTGGCTCAGGGATATGATCAGAGCACCTGCATACCTGCTGGCCTTCATTTCAGTGTCTCATACCAATTCCTTTCCCATCTTGTCCCAGGTGGCACGAGCCCGTGCTAATGTCATGCTCGGATGTCGGCCTTCCCTTGCTGGAGCGATGGATGGTGGGTCTTCTGCTTGGAGCTCAGCTGCAAAAATCCCAGTTGGGTTTTCGAAGCGCTGTGATGTATTTGACGGTGAAGAGCTAAATCTAGATCCTGAGACTATACTTTTCCCCTCTCAGCGCCAAAGGTCAGCAGTGAGTAGGCTAATTTTTGCTCTTTTCCTATGTCAAGGCAAAATTGTTATCTCTCGTCTCTCCCTTCTTTTCAGGCAAAGAGAAAAAGAAAATTAGGGGGGTTGTAACATTGTAGTTGGCTCCATCACCATAATGGCCTTGTCAGAGTATGTTAAGCTCTTGTAGGGGAATTTTTTCCCCCCATTCTTTAAACATTTTCTCCATTTAAAAATAGAAAACATAGAACTGGGGTTTGGAATTGTTCTTTTTTTTGCTAGAAAGATGTTTTTTAAAAAAGCTGTGGGTTTCTATGATGAGTGTGAGAGTAGAGGTTTGAAGAAGTTATGAACTGGCTGGGAGCCAGCCCCTTATCTGGTCAGATAATCATGGAGAATGGAAAGACACACGCAGGCACTGATCATCTGCAGCCAACCAGGAACCAGCATCATGAATACAACCACTTTATTACTATAACCACTGAAGTCCTTTCCTCCCTAGACAGAGGAGTAGCTTTATTTCCATTTTCTTTCATCATAGAATCCCCAAATTTAGGTAACCTTTGTGATTTATGAACACTTTTTGTACATCAGAAAAATTAAAGAAATTACCTGTTAAAAAAAAAATCAATTAACTTTAGTATTTGGATGGGTTACTTTTTCTAACTTTCCAGGGTGACTGGTTTTGATGGATGGCCTCAAGGGCACAATGGTTTACACGTTCTTAAAAGCACCCAGCTGAGTCTCTACTAGTTAGACCAATATTTAGGCCAAAGACCCATTCTGAGTGTTGTAGTCAATATTCCTTCAATAATTAGCAGTGAATGAAATTTAGAACGTTTCATCTAAAGAAGACAAGATATAAAAGAGGTTTATGGTGTGTACTGGATTTCAAGCGGGAAACAGCAAGAAGTAAAGTTCATATAACCACTGGGCATCTATACATGTGCACCGAGAGCTGCTCTTAATTAAAACAGCTGCAGCGTCATGTGTATTAGCATCCCTGTGCTTCAAAACGGTGGCGGAGGTGCTTGAACTAAACCTCATTGAATATGGTTTAGTTCAAGCACTTCGCCACCATTTTGAAGCACAGAGATGCTAAATAGACGTGATGCGGAGGCTGCTGAAGCATTTTAATTAACATGATCCAGCAGACTTGATTCATCTAATTAGCGCACATCAGACCAGACATCCAGCATGTGTATAGGTGCCCGTTGTTTGTATAGCCAAGGATTGTGGCTGAATCTCCACGTGCCCAAATTTTTCATCAACAAATAATGTGGTATCTATGATGGTTGAAATGCAGCCATCACAGAGAGACAGCGAAAGTCTTTTGCATCAGTTAACGGCTTCCCAGTCAACAGCGAGCTCCACCCTGTCTGACCCAGACTTTGTTCTATTTAAAAGGAAACAGCGTTAAGGTACTGACATATTTACAGCATTGTCTGTCTCTGCTATCTCACTCTTGGCCGCTACTTCTCTTATGTACACTGCTATATCTCTCATTCTTCTTGCCAAGCATGGATCATTTGGTGTTTCTCACATTTCTGATCTCTTGCAGGAGGTTGGACATCAGAGCAATGCTGAGTAACAAAATCATGAAATCTTCAAACTCGAGTTTGCTATCCAGATCTTCTTCGAGAGCAGAAATAATTTCCTTGTGTTTTGGCTTGTTCTCCTGGCCCTGCGAAAAATGTTAATGGAGATTATTTAGTATGGGTTTTTTTCCTGCCTTTTCTATAGTGAATGTAAATATTTTGTCTCTTTAGTATGTTAAACAGATTGAGCTCCCAGTTCTCTGATTTCCACAAAAAAGTGCCCCCCTCGGTGATGAGCCCAAGATCACTTAGCCAGTATTTAAACTACTTCTTGTGTGCCATTCTGATTTTGCATCATGCTGGTTTCTAATCAAAGTCTTGAGTGACACTAAGTCAGATGCCTTGCCGTACTGTATCAGTGCTGCTACCTTTATCAACAAAGCTTGTAATCTCATAGAAAAAATATATATCCCGTTAATTTAACAAGATCCATTTTCCATAAACCCATGTTGATTTGCACTGCTTATATTTCTCCCCTTAATTCTTCAGGAAGACCTATCGCACAAATTTATCTGGGACTGATATCAGGTGGCTCGGATCATAATTTTCCAGGACATCCTGTTTACCCTTTTAAAATATGGGGATACTAGCTTTCTTCCCTTCTCAATCTTCCCCAGATATTCTTTGACTTATTGAAAAATCAGCAGTCCAGGACGCACCTCAGCCAGTTCTTTACAAACTCTTGGATTCAGATTGTCTGGACTTGCTCATTTAAAAAAAGTTGGTGTTTGCAGCCGCTACTTTACATCCCCCTGAGTTGCTTTTGGTATAGAAAATATTTAATCGTCATCACATATTATATCCACATACTTGGCTTTATCCCTGAACTTAGAAGGGAAATAGTCAGTTTTGCCTTTATAGCTACGTTATTATTGACTCTGACCACTTCAACTTAGTAATGGGCTGATGCCATTATTAGGGTTTCCTTTGCTCATAATGCACTTAAAAGTCTCCTTCACATTGTCCTTTGATTTCTCCTTGGGTCCTTCTGCGTCTCTGATCAATTTTTCTAAAATTCCTAGCTTCTCATTTATACTCATAGCTGTCAGATTTCCCTTCTCCCCCCATCATTTGTTACGTTTGGCTATATTTGTTCTTGTACTTCCCTAAGCCAGACTGTTTCTTAATCACAATAGCCTTCTCTTTACCTTGGTTTTTTGCCAGACTTATTCTTAAGCACTCTCAACTACCATGCATGCTTTTTGGCTTCAGTTCTTTCTTTTAGTTGAGCTGGATCCTAATTGCTTTCAGCATTGTGAAACTGGCCTTGTTTAAACACTGGCTGCAAATATTATGGATATGGGCATTACTAGATTAGAGCTACCTCCACAATAAACCTGTTGTAGGAAAGATCAGCTTTTTGCCTGCACTACGGAGTTCAATACCTTTATTTCCTAACCCTGGATGGCAACAACTGCCAAATAGTGCATATCAAAACCACCATGCCTAGGGCTTGGTTTTGCCAGCAAATTCAGGAAGTGGCTCCCCCACCACCCCTCTTCGTTACTGAAACGGGGGGCACATATATTACAGGAGCTGGCCCTATGTAGGCGCAGCCCAGCCCATGCTCCTTCCCCAGGATTTCCATCTCAGATGGATCCTTCCCCTGGCTGACCGCCCATCCCTGCTCTCGAGTTTTAGTCCACAAGTAGGAGGGCCAGGGGGATGAGATCCCCGTTTTAGCTGTCCCCAACCCTCCTGGCAAGAGGAGCTGATAAAATGGTGCCTTTCAGCCCACTCTGCCAGGATGTCATCTGCTATCCTGCAATTTATATGGCTCCAGCTGGCCTGGGGGTGTAAGTCTGGCCCTCGTGTCAGATGGTGATGATGTTCTGGCAGATTCTGGACTCCTAATTAAACACACGTGTATTTCTTTCTACCAAAAAACACCCAGCGCCTCCTCTTTGTACGAGTCCCTGCAATTGCTTTGCCTTCCTGATGAAAATGCAGGCAGGTTGTTTCTTGCTTCCACGTCCTATGTTGCGCGCAGAGGCAGCCAGGAATAAAAACAAGGTAACCCATCCATCATGATCGGATATGCATAGTCGTTAAACTCTCATTTGGGATTAACAAGCTGACAATCCTTGTGATGTATCGGCAGCCTTGCAAATGCCTTCCCAGCTTGGCAATTGCCTGACTGGCAATGAAGGGAAAGGCAAAGGGTTTGCACGGAAAGGGGCTGGGAGTTTGGTTTGGGTATTTGCCGTGGTGGTGCAGACACCACAACCATCGTGGGCGGCAGGAGTGAGCGGTGCAGGGGCACGGGCGCAGCTCTGGACACGTGCGCTGATCCACTTACCTGTATGAAATGCCCAAACTGGGTTTGCAGCAAGGTCCTGGCTCCTGCTTTGCTGAGTTTGCCTTCAGGGTCGGCGGCGTTGCTATAGACCAGGGCTGCGGTGGCAAAAGCCTTTTCTAGGTCCGAGCCTTTCCCTAGAGCTGAGGGAAGCACCCGTCATTGGCAAAGGCTTGTGGGATCGAAGGACATGGTGCCATCGAGGCATCCTGCGCTGGTGTAAATCAGCATCGCTCCATTGCAGCTGATGGCCCCACTCACCAGTTGAGGAGCTGGCCTAGAATTTATTACTCGAGAGGCAGCAACACCCGCTGCAAGATGCTCATAAAACAGACCTGAGCTGTAAGCTACAAATAATAACCAGGGAGGCTAACAAGAAGTGAGCTGCATGAGAGCCCGGGCCTAGTTCATCACCCTTGATGCAGAGAGAATGGGAACACTGTTGCACCTGCCTCCTGCATTGTCTCCCCCACCAAATTCTCCAGTTTTTGGTGGAAACTGGAGTTCTCCACCATGCAACAAGGGTCTGTTTTCAGGGTGAAAATGTGGATTTAAAAAAAAAAAAGAATCCCTGAGTGCTCTTTGCCTGCAAACTGAAGCACGCCGACTTTGAAATGCTGCTGGTGTGCCCTGGGGGATCCATGGCACACACACTTTGTGTTCCTGTTTTCCACTGTGCACCAGGCTGCCTCTCCCAGAATGCACCTCTGTCATGAAGAAGAGATGATGTTGCATCATGGGGTGAATTCAAACACATTTGGGACCGAAAGTTCTTTCTGCTATCAGCCGAAATATTTTGGATTTTGATTCTTCCCCAAATCCATGGCGCTTCCCTGGGCCGCCTTGCCTCTGGCTGTATCGCTTCACCCACCCATCATCTGGGTTGCTTTGCTGAGCAGGGCAGAGACTCTTTCTTCCCCGTGAACCTCTGTATGACAGTGGGTCACACCCACCCCAGTGCAGAAGACTGGCATGAGGCTTGAGCTCACTTTTTGGCTTTGTTAGGAGAGCTTACTGCACACGGGAAGGACACAATGGCAACCCTGTGCCATGTACCACTGGGTAAGGATGGGCAAGGAATATAGAGGCTCAGGCTGGAGGGAGGTCAAACTGCACCCCATTACTCCCCTTCCCCACACATCCCAGTTTCCCCAGAAATGCAACCCAGCCTGGCTTTCTTTACCTTTGCATGCCTGCCTTCCCCCCACATCCCAAAGTCTCTGGCCCCTGCGTGCAGGAGCCCTGGCAGCGTGTTGTAGCAGGCACTCAAGGCTGCCACAAGACAGAGGGGCTTCTCCGTTCTGCTCTGGGCTCATGCCAAAGAGTGAAATTTCCCCTTGGCCCCCACGATTCGCTGCACTGGATGCTTTTCCCTTTGGCGGGTAAAACCCATCAGCCACACTGAAGGGGGTGCCCTTACCTTTCACCGAGGCCAGCTGCTTGGAGATGGGTATGCTGGTATCGAAAGGAAAGACACAGTTATACAGGAGTCATCATTCCCTTGCACATCAGCTTGTCCGCTCCCACCTGCTGTGTCACCCCACAGACCCAGTGCTTTCCACCCCTGCCCAACATCCCAGGGAAGCTGGGTTTCCTCCACAGGGCAAAAAGCAATATCTTGAACTCCAGCTACAAAACCATTTCTGAGCCTCAGCCTTAGAGGCTGGCCTGTAGTTCCTATTATACGATACAGGGAACAGAGAGTATCAGGGCTGCTGGCCTGGACAACATCACAGCCAGTGGGAGCTAATATGCTCCTCACCCCCTGGGAACGTTCATTGTTCACGTGGGATCTAAGTGCATCCGCAGAGAAATCCAGCAGGGTCTAGGCAGCTTCCACGCTTGCCCGTTTCCACCGTGCAATGCAGGGTTACTTGGGCGTTACCTCTGCCAAGAGCCTGCCAGACAGGCTCTATCGACTTGCTATTAAAATATAAAGCCTGATTACTGAGTGCTGGAAGCTAATTACAGCCCAGCCAACGTGCGTGCTGCGGAACGTCACTCTCCCGGTTGATGCAGACAAATCTGAATGGAGAGCGAATTTCAGGACAAGGGCTGGATTAGGAAAGTGGCAAAGAGCAGAGCGGTGCCTTACCGTTTGGGCATGCTGGCTGCGGCTGAAGCGGTTTCCCTGCTGGGAGTGACGCCGGGCCGAGGGACAGAGGACTGCTTGGCGTTCGCAGAGCTGGCCGTGCAGCCACACATCTCTCACAACAGCCTCGTTAGCGACGATCTCCAAGCAACTCCAGTCCTTGCAAACAGGCAAATCCCAGCTTGGCACTGCCAACGCAGCCTGCCTTCAGCAGGCCCTATCAATAATGTAAACGCTTCCTGGCAAGCGTGGAGCTAGCTAAATAAATCAGCCTGCAGCAACCTGTTTGAACCTGTGCCCAGGTACCGGAGGGTAGACGGTGCTGTTTATTTTGCTTATGAGGAGGGAGCAAGCTAGATTCGAACAGGGCCTGAGCAAGTCAACTGGAACCCAGTCTACATCTTTCGTAATAAACAGCCACCTATGCTACACCTATGGTGTTGTCTTGGGGAGTGATCTGGGTGGTACAAGTTGTGATGGGGGTGGCATAGGAGCCTCTGTGTCCCCTGGGCACTCACCAACCTTGAAGGCACCCCCCAGGCAGGGGGATTAGGGACAGACTCTGTCCTCGTGGTACCATGAGAAGCCAGGGAATCTCCCCTAAAATCTCCATTTTGCAGGTGAGGGATGGACCACAGCACTGGTTCAGATGCACCTATTTCTTGCAGTGGGTGATTGCATGCTCAGGGAGCTGTTATCTCACCCAGGAACAGAAACCAGGGATTCCCCAGCCTGGGACCAAAGCTTGCTCCAACGAGTATCAAATCTGTATTCCCACATTGCAAGAGGAGGAGCAGGGGTCTGTCCCATTCAGGACTACTAGCAAGACTGCACCCACCGTAATGCCTCCATTTCATTGAAGTGGGTGCTCTCCACTTCCAACAACATCACTGACCTGAAGGACAGATCAGTGGTACACAATAAAAATGGGAAGCACCGTGTTATTTGTCAGCACAACTGTTGGTGGGGGGATTATTTGCCATACCTCCACTCACTGCATATTTCCTACCGATGTTATCTAAGAGCCATTGGCACGTCTCTGGCGTCTTTGCTCACAGATGTCTAGACAGTGCTGCTTTGACCCGAAAATCCTATTGGCAATATTCTCCTCCCAGGTGGGCCAGCACAGAGAGGAACTTCATCATTTTCCAAGTCATTTTTCCTGGTGCAAGATACAGTGCTGATGACAAGATTCTCCAGGATGAGACTTTATGTAACAGGACACTCAAAGGAGACAGCAACAGATGGCCTAGAGAATTAAAATGTTTTCCTCATTTAGCAGAAGCTAAATTACTGAAGGCTAATGAATAAGGATGTTCGCCACCTTACTGTTCTTAAATTTTAATCATCTTAAAAAGCATGTGAAAAGACAACCCTTAATTTCCCATCTAAAAGTGTCATTACTCAAACAATTCGGGGCCTTTTTTCTTGAGAGAGGTTTAAGCTGTCTTAGATCTCTGGTGTGTTCTTGGGGATAGGCTCATGAATTAAACAGAGCCCATAATTGCAGTGACGCAGCCAAAACACATATAATCAATGCTCATTATCCCATCAATTAACACACTAAAATTAAACAAGAATTCAGGCTTAGTAATCTGCCATCAACTAGGAAGAAAAAAAAACAACAGCTCTTGCTATCATGTTGAAGTGATGGTTCTTTTTTTACATCTGCGGAGCCATACAGCAAGGCATGGACCGCTTTACATCATGGCTTATCTGCAAAACATAAAGCACCTTTGGTCCTAGCATCCAAAATAAAAATAAGAGTGAGATAAGAATTTGTGCCATGGATTTCAGCTGACGCCACAGTCGGGAAATGGCCTCGCAAAGACAACCTGGGGCTTGCTTGTTTCTTTTGCCAGTGCGGATCTGACCGCAGACTGTATTCCCATGACTTCCCAGCCCTCAGGGATTTCTGAACTCCAAGAATGGGTTTGAGAAGGCATGCTAACCTACACTGGAGAGAGTAGCCCAAAGGATGCAATTCCCCCTGTGCATGATCACATCCCATGGTCCCAAGCTACTTTCCATTGGCACAGCCTGAGTTTATGCTTTAAGCACAGATACACACTGGGCATGTCTACACATTCATTAATGCGCCTTAGATACTAGTACTAAACTAAATGTGCAGTACCTAGAGTTACTGTGCAGTATCACCAGTGCATGGTTCTACAGTGATGTTTACTGCTCATTAGCCTAATACAGCTACTCCTCACTTAAAGTCATCATTACGTTCTTGAAAAGTGCAACTTTAGGTAAAACGAAGTTAAGTGAATCCAATTACATCACAGTAGTTACCTACTATCACGTGGCGGCCAAATAACGTTATAACCGAACATTGCGCGACTTTTAAACGAGTAAGTTCTCTAATAGATCAGCGATATAATAACGAAACGACGTTAACTGGGATGACGTTAAGTGAGGAGTACCTGTAACAGTGCGCAGCAGGCTATTAGCACCGTTTGTGCTGTGACGCACTACTTCGCAGTGTTATTAGGTTAATGTGCAGTAAGCATCTCACGTAACGTGCCCACAAAGATAAAGAACAGAATAAAAAAGAAATGTCTATATAATTCACCCTGAGCTGTTTTTTTTGTGGAGAAGGCAGCATAACAAGTTAATAAATAAATATTATACATGTGCGGTACAACCTCATACTCGCTAACCGTCTATAATTTTAACCACCCCAAAAGCAGGAACTGATTTTTTTTCATTACTATGATATAGAGGGTTGATTAAGCCTGTTGTAGGGAATGCTTTCTCATAATTGCCTCTTCTCCTGGTCCCACGGGGGTTCATTATAATGCATTTGTATTGCATCTAGAGACACATTATGTCGATCTTGATACCTGCCTATGTGCGTGGAAAGCAACGTGAATAATTACGAATGAATTTGCCAGTTTTATCTGAATGTCACATTCCCACAGCCGCGCGCAGGCATGCTGGTGGCAGCAGCAGCTGGGCATACAATGCTCCACGGGTGGAGAAGTCCTGCTGTCTGGTGTCCTTTCAGAGCTGCTTCCCTTTTCACATGCCTCCGATTCGGGATGGCTCATTTCTAAAGCAATATGTACCTTGTACCAGAGCCCTGGCTTCCATAGAGATGAGCCTGTCAACAGCACAACCATGCACGTTCGGGCTTGCCTAAGTCAAGGCGTGATTATGCTGGGACTCAAGGCTAACAGTGTAATGGATATTAGGAGAAATGCATCTAAAACCTAAGACCCATGGACTTGGGAGGGTTTATTATTTCCTCACACTGATATCTCTTGGTTGAAACCAGTGCTGGGAAGTGTTGCTGGAGCAGACGTGCAGCTGATTTGCACCCCAGAAAATACGATATTGTGGGGATGGGGTTTTGGTAGTGTCTAATGCTCTGGTGACTCTTATCTTCATGTGCACAAATTGAAGTTACTAATATAGCCTATTACTGAATCTAATTGACCCTGTTAAAGGGTACTTGGCTTTAATGTTAATTTTTGCCAACGGCATCAGAAATATTCTCCATACCTTAAATGGCTAAAAGAAGGACAAGAATATAACTCCATGTTATTTTGATCATCTTCAGGCTAACTCCTATTTTTAGGTGGCACAGTCAATCACTGTTATTTAGGTCCAAATTTTCCTGATGTCTGTGCGTGTTTCTACAACTCTAGTTATAACCAGAGATTTTTCAATATCATGAAACAAAGGATCTGGGTCTGATAGAGCAAAACCTTTCTGCACAGGCTGCAGTGCAAACATTGCAGGGCATTACAGAGCCATCTGGAGATCTTTTTTAATGGACTTTTCAGAGATTTTTGGTTAGACTCTTCCCTGGTGGAATCCTACTTTTTTTGTTTAAACAAATAACTTGTTCTCTTGGCAGGAGAGCTGTGCTGCTCCCAAGTTTCCCTGCTGAGGTTTGCCGGCTGCCTTCCTCCAGCTCACCTGCACCAGCATATTTCAGTACTTGGCACGTGCAGGGCCCGACCATTGCTGCTACAGACTGATTTCCTAGCAATTGGTTTATTTCTCACATTACTTTTCTGTTGGTTGTTTCTCCCAGGCATCTGGGATTTTGCAAAGTTAATACAGATGAGGGCAACTCTGGGAACATTTGCCTTTTGGGTATCGCTGCGCTTTTAGAGCCATCACTGACAGCTCAGTCCTGCCCATTGGCAAAGAAGACTCTCTTCCCCATCCACCGTTGAGTTGTCTGGTGCATGATCAGGGTGGATGGAGATGTGTGTGCTGTTCCTACTACAGACTAGGTCTATAGCTACACTGCAACTACACCATCTGTGCAAGGGTGTAGCTACAGTTTCTGGTGTAGCTAGCAACAGATCTACTGGCAGGAGTTTTTCTGCTGCCCAAACTACACCAGCTTCTGCAAATGATGGGAAGTCTTCCGGCCCAGCCAACGCAGTGCTGTCTAGGAGCTCTTTGTCACGTTGGCATCTGACAATCAGCAATGAGCTACCGCTATTGCATTCATGCCGGTTTGTCCAGTGACCTGAAGAAGAGGCTTACAAAGCAGCTTCAGGGAGCAGCTGATACATCATTGTCACAAGGTGTGCAATGCGCCACCATCTATCATGGTGCGTTATCATTGCAACAATTGCTCTTCATCTTAAATCATCTCATCTTCAGTTTGAAACACACCCTGGCTTTAATCAATTCACTCAAAACAGGGCAGTCACATTTTCCAGGGTGCACTCCTTGCTCAGCGGTAACCTAGGCTCTGCTGGGAGCAGGAACAGACCCCAATATGCCGAAGCCCTGATCTTCCCAATTTATTTCACCTTCCAGAAACAACTTTCCAGCTCATTCTTGCTTGTCAAGCATGACTATATAGAGTCCTGCCTGGTGTAGGAGAAGCCATAGGTCTGTGCACCTGGAGGCAGGCATGCACAGGGCTATGGGATAAATCCAGGACACATTAGCAGAAAAACTTCAGCTCCAGTAATCCTCCATGAATTTGCTTTTCAGAGATAAGTATGTGATTGTGCAGCTCTCAGATCGCAGTTTAGCTCTGGGGTCATTAATGATTAAAATATTAATGAATCCCATTGCGGGAGATAAAGCAGGTGAAATGTCATTTGGAGAAGCTATTAGAATTGGTCTTCATCCGCAGGGAAAGATCATTTGTCATTTCAAGTCTGGGCATATTTTGGATATGGTATATCAAGTAGGGCCAAATTCTGCTCCGTAACACCTGGCTGAAATCTAACAAAACCAGTATGGTATCCTATGGAAATCAGGTGCCTCTGAAAAGTCCTAGGCATAAGGAGTGAAACACTTCTCCTTTGGTAAGTTATTCACCTACCCAAAGCACCTGCCCAAGGTATCATCCCAGAACTAAGTAAAAATATTAAAGGAAACTGAAGAGAGCCTTTCATGGAAGTCCAACCATGTGTAACAGAAAACTGAACTCCTCTTAAAGAGATGCAAGGGTGAAAATGTAAGCAAAGAAATGGCAGCTGGGTGGGATGACAAGCATCCCCCCTTCTCCAATATAAATTCATGTCAGACCACTGACATCGTTACATTAGCTATGAATTTCAGATCATATATGATGCAAGAAGCAGGAATGGATATAAATCCTGAAATGCAGCCGATTTCTGACATTGGAAGGATTCAAGAAGGGGGGAAAAACCCCACCTATGGTGTTTCTTAAAAAGGAGGAATAAAAGTATAATGCTAAGGAAAGGGCTGTGGCGGCAGGGTAAGTGCAAGTTCAGAAGCATGTTGGTCCTAGAGATGGGAAGGTTTTAAATCAACCAGGCTTGAAGTCAGTAGAACAGAAGAGCGAAAGGCTTATGATTTGATTGGGTACAGAGCTACTAAAGAAGTAGGAAGAAAATATTTTTGATGAGTAAGATGACTGCTGTTCTTCTGGGTGATTTTTAAAACTATGTCTAACTGAGAAGCTCTGAAGATGAGGCATGTGGCAGAATAAAGACAGATGCGATGAATGTATGCAACAGCTTTTTTCATCAATGTATCAGAGACTTTGCCAGGAATCATTCATGACTAGAGCTCAACTTTACTAACTCTTCCTAATTCATAGCCTATGCAAATTAGAAATAAATAAGCTAGCAAAGTTAAATGGGCACATTATGAATACCTGTCACAGAATCTCAGCACCTCCGTAAGTTTTGGTCATTACCAAACATTTATGATTAATTATGGGCCCACTCAGTGCTGGGCAAGAGAAAAGATTTGGCTACTGATTGAGATTTAATCGAGAGCACTGCGTGTTAAAAAAGTTGGAGGACTTGGGATGATTACATCTAGAGAAGAGAAGATTTGGAAGGCATCGGCTACCAATCCTCAACACAAAAAGAGCTGTCATAAAGAGGACAGTGATTACTTGTTTGCTGTGTCTATGACCAGAATTAATAGGCTTAAATTGCAACAACCAACAGTGAAGTCGTTTGGAAGAACTCATTAGTCATTTGGTTAAGTGCTGAAACAGGCTCCCTAGAGAAGCTGTGAAATCCTCTTCACTCTTCAGCTTTTAAGAGTAGGTTAGAGAAACACTCCTTTCCCTGCCCTCAGTCAGGCAATGGAGAACAAGGAAGAGGCAAGAGCAGGAAGGACAGCAGAGAAGATCAAGGAACGTGTTTTTCAAAGCTGACCTACTTATTTAACTAGCCTTAGTATAGTCAGGAATAATTCAGTGGGAAGGCAATCAGTCTGTCAGCAGCATTCAAACAGGCCTTCAAAGAAGATGCTGGAGTTTAGACCGCCACTTGCCTTAAATCAGGATATGCCCAATCTCAACGTTTACTCTCTTGTTGTAGTCTGCATTCCCCGGTCAAATGAACCCGCAGCTCATCAGACTGCCATAGAGGGTGCATATAAAGTCCCTGGCGTAGACAGGACTTTCACCCAGGCAAGATGTTCAAGCAACCCCCCAGCTATAGTTTTAGTTTTCATGTTTGCTTTTGTCACATTAGAGTAATCGGAGAAGTCAGAAGGAGGAAAGACTCCCAGTGTCCCTGGCAAGGAGGACCACAGCACCCAAAGGACATGTCTAATAGCCATCAGTTTGTTTGCACTGAGTATCGGTAAACGGCCTGTACGACTTATTCTTCAAGCAGCAGACGCCAACCTTTCTGGCAGGTGTGCCACAAATAAGCCCCACACCCTCCCCCAGTGCCACACTGAGCTCCTTCCACTGCCCAACAGGCCACTCTGCTTTCTGCTCCCTGATCAGTCTGCTGCTCTGCTTTCTGCTCCCTGCTCTATTTGCCGCTGTGCTGCCTTCCCTCCTTTGGCCTGCTGCAAGGCGCACACGATTATACCGTGGTCCTTTCCTGAACCATAAGGACCCTCCCTTAACACTGTCCTTCCCATGACTATGTTTGATTGTACTTGGAGCTGATGCAAATGCACAGTTCACTTGCAAGACAGCTGATGTTGCTTGTCAAGCAACTGAACCTGGGTTTTGCTAGTCAGTCTCTTATGTCAATGGTGTCAGCTCTTGCAATATTAACCTGAATCAATAAAGCCTCAGCTCCTGTGGTTGTGTGGTCCTGCATGCATTTTCATTTACTAGATGAAGTAAAATTCTGCGCCTCCTGGTTGCAGAGAAAAGCTTGAAGTGTGTCTTGGGAGCACAAACCGTTCTTCCTTGAAGAAAGAAAAGGCAAATTGGGGGAAAAAAAATTAAATCTCATCAGCTTTGGTGGCTTGACTCCGATTATTGAATGCTTCCCCTCCTGCAGTCCCAGTTAGGTCAATAAGAGATAGACTACCTGCAGAGGAAGACAGCACTTAGTGTGAATAACAGAGATAAAAGTTGGCCATGTATTATTTACCAAAGTAATTTGTATATGTTTTACACTGGCACACGTAGATGCAATATGAATAGCTACAGCAATACCATAGGCAGGGATGTGTTAGCTGCTGAAATCATATGAAGAGAAAACTCATTCGCTCTTTGGTCAGGGGCAAATCTTAGCCAAGGTTCGTCCGTTTTTAAACCAGTTCGTGTGTGACAAACTTCTGTTCTGTTATTGGTATAGACCGGTTTCTGATATACTTTTACTGGTAAGTGTGTAATGTCTCTACCTGGCCATACATGTCTTTGGTGAACAGATAACCATGGGCTTGTTTAAACCCAATGTGTGCGCTAGCTCTTCTTCTTTCAGACCAAAAGGGGGAAGTGATTAAGCCTTTCTTTCTATGCATTTAGACAGAGAAAACTTACTGATAATAATCCATCGGCCTTTGGGGTTAGTTTACACTACTGTAAGATCACCATACTCTCCAAACATGCATTGTATGCAATAACTTTATTAGGGTCAAATAGATATCACAATATAGATTCATCTACCAAGTAGCCATAAATTGGTTACAACGATCATATAAGAGACTAGGCTGCTGGAGGCTAAGATGCTTTCAACATTACAGCTGATACAATGATATTACATACCAATACACTTTTATTTAGAAATGCAGATGATCAGTTTTGACTGGGGTGTTTTGCTGCTCACTTCAAATTGAGCAAGAAAGGAGGGATAAAAATGAGTCTTTCTGCTGTTCAGTATCCCATGTGCTATACAGCAAGCAAGGAAACAGTTATCTATAGCTGTGGGGCTAGCTTTATACATCTTAGGGGGAGATCTTCCAGATGTGTTTTTGGTCAGCGTTGTTATATTTTCTCAAACTAACATTCTTCATAATGCCTGGACACAACTGTCATGATCTTTAAACAACACAGAAATACTCTCAGTGGAGATAACGGAATAATTAAGCATTATAAACTACCTCCCAACAAGACACGCGCTTGGCATGTTTTGTTGTAATATGTGTAGGATACAACGTGGCTTATTTTCACATGGTTTTATGTCCTGATCTCTGCACCTCTGTTAGCTTAATTAAATAAATACCTTTGTAAACATATAACACAGTTACTTGGTCCTTATTTTTCACAGCTCACATGAAAAGAGTCACAAAACATCAATAGAAATAGTGATGTATAGAATGAATACTTAGCTTAGTTAAATGGAATAAACACTGGCCAGTTACCATATATACTACTGAATGCCATTTCAAGGAAAAACAGTTTAGTTACAAAGCATTCAGAACTCGGGTAAGCCATATATTCAACTCTGCAAAATATATAAAATATGCTTACTTTTTTTTTTAAACGTATATTTAACAAAAAGTAGTAGCAGAAATTGGAAACTTCCAGGTATATAGTCCAAAACATTCTGTTGTGTGAAGCGGCTTATTCATGCACTAAATCACATGTGAATCAGTTCACTGAAATAATAACTCATAATAAAATTCTCTGAAATAAAAATATAATCAAAACAAATACTTTAAAGGGTCACAGGCAGGCAGTCTTGAAACGTCGGAACAATGCCACATGCATTGTGATCTACTGAGGAACAGTTTGAAATAATAGTAATAAAGCACTTCTGTTTTTCACCAAAATGTAGGAGGAAACTCAGTTCTACTTCATTATGTTATGCATATTAAATACTACAGATCTGAGGCTACAAAATGCTGCTACCATCTTAATACACATACAAAACTACCATAAAATTATCTATACAATACATACAACAATACTTACTCCAAATCACCACCTGCGATGAATACATCGTCACCAGTTATCTAGTCACAAAAAAAAGCCAAATATAACCCTCAAGCCACCACCCCTCTGCCTCAATAGGTGCTGTTAGATCTTGAATTACATGAAACACTCTGTTGTGTTAACTTATTTAAACTCTTTAAAAATCTGGTGCCACTGAAACTTAGTGTTGTTAAACTGTCTACATCGAACGGAGGCAAAAATGCAAACTCTGAGGATGCTAAATTTGATTGGCAAATGAAGTTGGCCCACTCTGACTATAGCTTTGCTGCTGGCTGTATTCACCCACCTGGCCGTAGCTGGCTGGTTGGTTATACCCACCAGTTGGCCCGTAGTTGTCTTGATTATAGCCACCTTGGTTAAAGCTGCTCGATTGTTTCTCCATGGTGTCTGGAGGGTGTCTCATGCCTGAAGAATGCCAGCCCGTCTCCTTAAAAACAAACCAAATGTTGCCTGCCCAGAGAATAAAGTTCAAGAATCCAAAGACCTAAACAAGAACCAAAGCAACTCATCAGTACACAGTCATGGTCCCACAGCCGAAATATATACATATATACAGAGAGAGAACATCAAATATAGGCAGTGCAATGTTTCAGACTGAAATGAGCCTGGCATGTCTAAAGACTGCCTCTCCCAGTAGGTATGGAGAGCAGATCTCTTGGTAATGAAACAAACCTCTGCTCTTGGTCCAAGATAATCATGAATAACTGACTTTTAGACTCCACTACAAAGGATGTACTTTAGTTCAGGTAGCTATGATGGGGGTGAGTACTTATGGAGGATGGGAGGCAGGTAGGGAAAACCCTGCTTATTTTGTAGTGCTGCGGGTGGAAACTGCCCTGGGGTTTCAATGCAGTCTGCGTTGTATTAGAGAGCTCGCCTCTAGAGAGTAGCAGTAAAATGAACACAGATGTTTAAAACAGCAAAAACCTATTTTGCAGAAAGACCATTGTTAACATTTTTAGGAGTGTACAGGGGCCCCATTTTCAATTGGAAGGAAACTTGTTGGAATTTCAGCTCTGGAGTGACAAAGGGCTAGATCCAAAGCAGGACTTCAGCACATGTTGGGCTCCTAAGTGTAAGATTGTTATTCGAGACCCCAGCCTCTCCCTAGACAAATGGATGGAGATTTCTGTCTGCAATCCTCAAATTTCCTATGGGCTAGCAAAGGGCCGCTGCCTGTCCGTGGTCTGGAGAGCTGACAAGACGTGGTGCACATTTATAGTAAAACAATTAGTGTCTACTTACGACCGAGGTGTTCAAGCTGGACATGACTGGGCGGTGCACCAGCATGCATTTGTTGGTCTGCTGCTTGCAAGCGGACATCAGTAACAGCACTTCATCTGGATCCGTCGCAACCTTGAGGTCAGACAGTCCTTTGGCCCAAGCAGAGGAGCCCACTAGCCACATGAACGAGAAGACCACCGTCACGATGAAGTCCTACCAAACCAGATGAGAGAGGAGCATTATTCCAGTGTGCCTACTGGGCAGCAAAACATAAGACAAGCACCAAAACTAAAACCTCAGGCCAACAGGAGAGAGTGTGATTTATTTATTGGCAAACATCCGATTCTCTTAAAAACCTGCAGCCAGAATTTATGGGAGTGCCCCACATTCGTGACCGCATGGAGACTTTCAAAAGGGTGTCTTCACGCCCACCTTGCTGGGATCGTCTGACCCCAGCGGTTTTTGCTGCCCAAGTGCAAGGGGGTTCAACTCGATGATCTGTAAGGTCCCTTCCAGCCCCTACCAACCATGAAACTATGAACTCAGCTCCCATTGAGTCCACCCAAAATGCAGGAGGCTGAGCTGGTTTTGAAAATCTGGCCTTCGTTTCAGTTCCTATGTAGAAGCTGAGGTCTCTGGGGAACCCAGCTCAGAGCAGGCGAGCAGTCTCACACATGCTGAAAGGTTCTGGGATCCCCCACCTCTCACCCAGCCCCAAGACCCCAAGTACTTCTTTGTTTAATTCCTACCCCCATGAAGACACAAGGAAATGAGAGTCATGATTTCACGGGGCTAACGATGGCAACTGTATTTATTCTGAACGTCTCTGTTCACCTTGGACGATAACGAATTTTGTGTCTATGCACGTATAAAAACCTCTCGCTTTTTTCAGTAGCAATAAGTGACCCAGCAACATTATAACTATAGGCCTTGGGGGATGAAAAGGCATCGTTTTTTAAACCTCCTTATATCTTGACAAAACGGAGGAGCCATTCTACTGTCATCTTTTATCCCACCTGCCAGTCTGTAGCAGATGGCTGAAGTCACAAAGTCTAACCTACCACTGATTACATGATTGTGTCTTGGTGTCTCCGTTCCCTCACGAAAGGCTGTGGCCAGAAATGTAGATTATTTTTTTTTATATACAAAAAAAAGTGCTGTCTGCACATCTTAAAAAACAAAAAGAGCAGCAGTTCCCTGGAAATGCAATCACCCTATTGTATTAACACACCTGCTGCTTGACACTTGGAAGAGCAGCAACTCCATGGCACCTGCAGACACACACAAACATACGCGCACACGTTTGTATGCTGGAAGATACTTGTGTACAAGCCCCCGTCACAAGCAAACTAACAAACAAGAGATTTCTTTGCCTGTACGAATGGCATTAAATGCGTTGCATCTCATTGGTACCCAAAAAGATACCATACTAAAAGATGCACCCTTCTTTTTAATGGCAAACCCCCTGACACAGGGCTGGGGAGGATAAACAGCAATGCTGCAAGCGTATGGCTCTCTGCCTCGTTCCCTGCCCAATTGTCCTGTGTTTCCAAGACGAGGAATGGGTGATAACAAACTCAACGCCAAAGGGCAGCAGTGAAAGTGGAAAGGCACAGCCTTGAGTGCAACAACTCATGCAGACCCCTAAGAAATGATGCTGCAGCATGCCATGCTCCTGCAGGAACAGAATTAGAGGTACCGTTTAATTGCAAATATCTTCCTGAAAAGTCCCAGCTGGGGCCAGAACTGCGAAATACTTGTTAAATTGTCATTTAGCACATCACACAATTGATTGGCTGAAGCCCACTGCTATGGGCCCGGTGTGACATACAAATGAAGGCAAATAAAACGTCACGTAGGCTTCTGATCCTCTTGCAGCCAGGGGAGAACCTGAAAGTGCAAGATAGCATTTTTTTTTTTCTTCCTGGTTAAGGATGACTAATTTTTTCCTCCTTTTTTACCCTCAGCAGTTGAGTCAAACCCCAGACGTCAAGCTGCGATTTTTATTTTTCAAAGAACAACACTCGATGGAAATTCAAGGCCAATTGGGTGAAACTAACTTGATTACGGGAGATTAAATCCATGAAAGGAGGAAAGCTCAATGCCTGCTAGAAGCAGGTGGCTACAGCGGGCGATGTTCAGGTGTACTGGCAACTCTGGGTGATGTGGTTCCTGACTTGGCCTTGGAGAAGCATTTGCGTGGTATAAATTAGCATGCTCGACGAGCCCAGCACTCTAATTAGGACTTTTGACTGCAAAGCACAACTATCCATACAGGTGCTAAGATATTAATATCCCAAATCCCATCCTCACCCACTCTCAGCTGCTTGGGGGTAGGTCTGGGCTGCTCTGGACTCCACCGCCCATCTCAATACTGAGCCTACAGCTGGGAAGAGGCGGTGGCTAGAATGAGCCTGCATTTCTATCAAAGTCTGGAAAATCAGGGCCAGCCTCCAGACTTCGGCTCGAGCCTAAATTCGCTCCGTTCCCAAGTGGGTTTTTGCTCCTGGCTGCGCAGCATGGGGTGGAGCAGAGCTACAAGATAATGACATGCTGAAAATAAGAGTGCATTTCAAGCTAAGCCCTTCAGTCCTTAATACTTATCTTGGGGATTTCTTCTTGGTAATTAAAGCCTGAACTTCTGCATACTAAAACAAAGCCAGCATTTGAATATTTAATATCCCCCCGGCCATTTTTCCTTTGGAACAAAGGCAGGTTTTTAAGTAGCTCTCGTTAAATGTGTATTAACGTCTGGTTACACTTCACTTCGAGCTGCACAGCTTCTCTCTCCAATCCCACCTGCGATGCTTTGCTCTCCTTACAGGTGTCTTTGGAATGGAGACAACTTCGGAGCATGCAGGGTGACCAGAAAACAGCATTTAAAGAAGCCAAGTAGATGCAAGAGCGTAATTTTTAGAGCTGGGTGAAATAGTGAAAAGCAAAGAAACCTTACGTTGTTTTTTAAATGGAAATTGGCCTGGTTCTGAGTTGGTGAACCTGTTCTAATGGGAACCGTTTGAAAGTCCTCATTATACAGCTTACGCAGAACCCTTGGCAGAGGCGATATCTTTTATTAGACCAACTAAATAGTTGCAAAAAAAATGTCTTTATTATGCAACTTTACAATCTTTCTCCCATTAGGATAGCAGCCAAAGGGTGCCAAATGATTCTTTGAATTCTGCATTGCATTGGACGGTGGTTGTAATTGGCCACACGAGTCTCATGCTACTGGTGCTGTGTCTCTGCATCCATCTCTGTGAGAGCTGGGTGACGCTCAGATGACTCGTTCTCTCTGAATTCTCTCATGCATCTCAGAATTAGTTAGTCTATAAGGTACAACTCTGCTTTGCCTCCCACCTCACTTCAGACTAAAAGAGCTACCTCTCCATCCTCTGAGAGGAAGAGCTTGTACTTTGTGTGCTCTGAGGCAGTCCACACCCCCACCAAAGTTCAGTGAATTTACTACAGTGAATAGACTATTAATTTCATCCAGGAAGAGCGCACAAAAACTGCAAACTTCCTCTGCCTGACAAAGGGTTTTTAAACCTGAAAGCTTGCTAAAAATGTTTTTTGCAACTCCTTAAGTTGGTCTAATAAAAGATATCAGATTTACCCAAAGAACCTTGTCTGCCTATGTCCTTAGACCAGCACAGCTACAACCTACACCCCAGTGAATATACCGGCTTCCTCGCTGTTGCTCTGCCTTCTCTGCTTTCCCCCACTGGCCAAAAGGGTCCCATGTAGCTAGCTTAGGATGCCCCATGACATCTGCAAAATTACGTCAGAAGTGGGACTTGCAGGGGAAATGCTGCCCTATGGAAAGATTCTGAGGATGTAGAAAACATGCAAAGCAAACCGATAAAAAAAAAAAACCCCTGGGAAACATTCTCCACCCATTTAATCCAGGCCTATAAGCTTGCCTTGAAGATTCATGTACTATTCAGTAATGCTCACGATATATGTAGTTCACTCTTTTTAAAACCAGAATAAACTATAAAGGAGAAGCCGAAAGCATTCTCAGAGGCTCAGTACCTACCGCTTTGTTTTCAAGAAGAGCTTTGAGCACCAATCTGTAGCATTCCTGGCCATTAAAAATCACTACACAAGCACCGATTAGCTTGACAACATCTATCTGTATTTACAACAGATTAGGGAGCCCCCTTCCTGAAGTTCAAAAGCTTTATAAATGTTCTCCGCAAGAGCTTCTCCCAATGTAGCAGCGTGAATTGAAACCTGAAACTTT